TGTCTTGCTCCAGGGGTGGGGGTCCCATCCTGTGCCGAGGGGAGGGGGTCACCAGGGGGATGACGGTCCCCTCCAAGGGTTTAGAGTCCTGTCCTCCCCTTGGGGGCTGGGGGTTCCCCTGCTCTGGGGGGTGGTCCTGTCCCGAGGGTGTGGGGTCCTGCCCCCCACCAGGGGGTCCCGTCCTCTCCCGGGCAGGGGGTCCCCAGGGCATTGAGAGGACACTGGGACAGAGGGCTGGCTCTGAGCTGGTCCCGCTCCCGGCTGCTGCCCCCTGGCACTGAAAGGGGGTCTGTGGGTACAGGGGACCGTGGAGAGGGGGTCTGTGGAGATGAGGGATGTGGGGGCTGTGGGTACAGGGCCCATGGGGAGGGGGGTCCCCCCACGCGGACTGCGGGGGGCAGCACAGCATGGGGGGTCAATTGGGGTCCCTCGGGCTGGGCAGGGGGGTCTGTCCCACGGGACCCCGCGGGGTCATGGCAGGCCCTGACACTGGTTCAGCCGGTGGGACAGGACAGGCTGGTGGCACCTGCGGTGTCACCCGTAGTGTCACCTGCCCGAGGCCGGGGCCAGCTCAGGCCACCCGAATTTGGGGCATGCGAGTGACGCTGCGGGACCTCAGCGGCATTTCCGGTGCCCCAAACCTGCCCCACGGCCGCCCCACCGCGGCAGCCGGTGCCGACAGGTGTCCCCGCAGGTGATGGCAGAGCAGGGAGAGAAGGACCCGGAGTACCCGGAATACCGGGAATACCAGCGGCTGGAGGACTGCGAGGAGGACTCGCCCCCGGGCGAGGATGAGGAGGAACTGCTGCTGCACGTCACCGAGGGCCCAACAGGTACCGGGGCCCCACCTGGCAGGGGATCCAGGGGTCCCTGTGGGCCGTCTGGGGGTCCCAGGTGGGGGGTTTATGAGTCCCAGGTGAGGAGGTTTGTGGGTCCCAGGTGGGGGGTTTATGAGTCCAGGTGAGGAGCTTTGTGGGTCCCAGGTGGGGGTTGTGTGTCTCGGGGCAGTCCCAGGTGGGGATTTGTGGCTCCCAAGGTGGGGGTCCCAGGCTGGGGGGTGCATACCCCATTCCCACCTGACCCCCCATGTGTTTCCCTCACAGACTCGTGGCACCACATCAAGGACCTGGACAGTTTCTTCACCAAAATATCCTGGCACAGCCCTTGGTGGCACTGTGGGGGAACATGGAGGGACATGGGAGGACCCCAAGAATGGGGGAATGGCACGGTGGGGTCTGTCACACCCTCACAGGTTCCTTAACCCCCCCCTACATCTACCATTTCCACCAGAGGAATGGCTTCGCCTGCGTCGTGCTCTCAGATGTCCTGGAGCTGGTGTAAGTGACAGCTCGTTGTCAGCACACGGTGCCACGTGGACCTGACACGAGGATCTCGCTGACCCCCCTGCCCCCCAGGCAGTTCCTGTTCGTCGTCACCTTCAGCACGTTCCTGCTGTGCTGCGTCGACTACGACGTCCTGTTTGCCACCCGCGCCCTGAACCAGAGCCACGTCCCCGAGCACACCAAGGTGACGCTGCCCGACGCCGTGCTGCCCGCCCCGCAGTGCGCCCGCAGGTGGGCAGGGCCACGGGGGCTGGGCAGGGCTCCGGTGCTGTGGGTGACACGTGGGGCCCTAGCGCTGCAGGGGACACGTGTGCCAGCGGGTGGCTGCTGTCCCTGCTGGCATTGGTGGCGTGGCCACGTGGGGGTCTCAGTGCCGCTGGCGTGGCCCAGTCGGGTCCCGGTGCTGTGGGTGACGCGTGCCCCTAGCAGGCTCCGTGGCAGCAGGTGGCTGCTGGGCCTGCTGGCGTGAACRTGGGGGGTCCCAGTGGCACTGGTGACACACGTGTCCCCAAAGACTCCCTGACAGCAGGTGACCATGGGGGAGTTGGTGGCACTGGTGACACC